CCCGCCCAGCGAGCGAGCCCGAGCAGGCAGACGCGCGGCCAGCGGTCTGGGGGCGCGCCGCCTCCCGGCTCCCAAAATGTGAAGCGGGGAGGGCGGACACGCAGAGACGGCCGGGCCGGACGCCCTCGCCGCCCTCCGGCAGTCGCGCCGCTCCCCTTCCCTGCCAGCCGAGGCCGCGCCACCCCGCGGGCGGCGGCCTGAGCAGCGAGCCCCCAGCCCAGCGCTCTCCGCCCGGCTCGGACTCGGCTTCGGCCCGCAAAGGGTTCGCGGCCCGGACTCCGTGGGACCCAGGCCCAGGACGGTGCGTACGGCCGCGCCCGCGGCTGCTGGCCCAGACAAGTTTGAACAATGATCACAGTCAACCCGGATGGGAAGATAATGGTCAGAAGATGCCTGGTCACCCTGAGACCCTTTCGGTAAAGTTCTCTCCTGGTTGGCGCGGGAGATCTTTTCTCCAAGGGGGTGCGGGGTAGAGGTGGGCTGGGTCGGCCTCGGTGAGGCTGCAAGTCCTGGTGGGAGAGGGGGCGGTTCTCGCTTCTACCCTGGGGATGACCAGCGGGACTGGGGCAGTGGATGGGGTTGTGGTCAGTGTGCGGTGAGGAGGGGGCTGTAATTCTGGGACCTGTCCCAAGTTGGTCAGGGATGGGGAGGACCCGAGTACAGAGGTGAGAATGGGGGCAGAAAGCACCCAGGTCGTGGTCCTGGGCCGGGGAAGCTGTCCTCGGCCAGCGCACCTCTTCCCTGCCCTTCAGGGTCCTTTCCCACCTAGTGGACCGTCCTACGGGGCGGCAAAGTTATTGCACCCTTCTGGGGTGGCGCCCTCTCCTGTCCTGCTAGTGGCTCCCAGGTCAACTAGCCCACCCTCCGCATTCCCTCCTCCGCCCGGGTCTTCGGCGGCACCTCCCCCTCTCCGCGGGCGCCTGTCTCCGACGGGAGCGGCCCTGAGATTGGGGGCGAGGACCCCTTCAACCGGAGATTCGCCTCGACCCAGGACCTCGGAGAGGCGGGGGCATGGGCCGCGCTGCGGGGCAGGGGGCGGTGGGAGCTGGGGCTGGGACTGGGGCTGAGGCAGGAGAGTGGCGCGCGGACAGAGACGACCCACCCCTACCCCTCTCCTAGGGTGACCCAGGCCAGAACAGGACTCACCGGACTCCACTGGTCCCCCCCGCCCAGGGGACCGCACAGCCCAGCGGGGCCGGGGCAGCTCCCTCTCCCCTTAGGCGCCCGCGGAGCCGGCCCTGAATCCCGGAATGGGGAGGGGCGCCACCCAAGGGTGCCCAGAGTGTCACCCGCTCGGTAGCTGGGCCCGAGAAGGACGCTGAGAGACTGGTGGGGGCCGGACTTGGGACGCGGCCACAGGTGGGGTCTGGGCCCAGGACAGAGCGGGTCAGGCAGGAGCAGGGGGACGGAGGGGCCCGCGGCCTGGGTTGCAGGAGGGGCCGGGCTTGAGTTCCTAACTTCCAGGCCCGGCCAGAGCCCCGGGGCCCTCCCAGGTCCCCTCTGGTTTCCTTCCCGGGAGGTGGGAAGCCGTGGCTCACCTGGCTCCCGCCTCTCGTCATACAGGGCTTGTTGTGCGGGGCTGAGAAGGCGGCCTCGAAGACGGCAGGGGTCAGGCTAGACCACCGCGGTCCAGAGGGTGCAGGACCGGAGAGCTGGGGTTGGGTCTTGAGCAGGATGGCAGGTGTCAGCAGCACCCCTAAAGTGCCCGCGGGAAGCAGGGCGGGAAGCGGGCGTCCTCCTTGCTCCTCCAGTGAAGCCCTCGAATTCCTGGTCCCACCGGGACGGCTGAGGGGGTCCTCGCCTGTCTCTCCTCACCCCATGCCGGCCCTGCCCTCCAGGTCATGGGAAGCTCCCGACATTTTTCTAGCATGGCTGGAGACCAGCACCATGGACAGCGCTGGCGGCCCAGGGCTCCTTCCCTCGAAGGCCCTGGCCAGGTTTTATGTTTTTTGTTTTGTTGTTATCTGAAGGCGAGATCTGAGGGTGGGGCTGCATAGGTGCCCCCCAACCCCAAATGGCTTAACTTCACCTCAGGGTCTCCCTAGGCTGCCCAGAGACTCACAATCCTCAGTGGAGTCTTCTGTCCCCTTCAGGAGGGAATAGGTCTCCAATCTCATCACCCCAACTTAGCTCTCCTGGGCCGCCTGCAAATGCTGTTCCCTACGCCCCTCCCAGAGCTGCTGGCCCGGCCTGTATTCTGTGGGTCTCTTGTGGTGTTGCCTGATGAAAATGTGGAGGATGGAAACATTTTAACTTGAATACACTATAGATGGTCCCGGGGTGATGTGGGGGACCCTAGGCCCCAGCAGAGGGAGATGTGGATAAGGTCTGCTGCGGGCTTCAGGTTCTGGGATGAAGATCCCTTTCTCACAGAAGGTCTTTGGGTCCTGACAGGCAACGCGGGTCCCCAGCTCGAAATATAAATCCATGGCCCAGGGAGAGGGTGTGGGAGGGGGGAATGAGCAGGGAGAAGTCTGTCCTTGTCCTCTGCCTGGGAGGACAAATAGCTAATTTCCCCTGAGATCTCTCTGGGTGTGTAACTGGGCCTCTCCTACACCACTGCTCTGGCTGTTGCCCTGAGACCAGCCCAATTTCATCTGGGGGAAGCCCAGGGTTTGAGCACCACCCCCATCTTGGAGGGATCCTGTTAGGGAACCCTCTGAGGTGAGGGAGAAGCACCCCTGGTGATGTGTCACCTGCTAAATCTTCATCTCCTGTCCTCCCTGTCTGTGGCATGGTCTTTTCCAGAGGGTCTTCTCCTGGGAAGCTCCCAACGCCTGCTCTACTTTGGGGTTCTGCCCCTCTCTGACTTAATCTCTAAAGCTTCTTTTAAATATGGGCTGGGAATTTTGTTGTGCTTTTTATTTTCTTCTGCAATTATGTGTTTTCTTTAATGGACCCAATTTTAATTAAATACTGCTCTGCCAGTTTCAAATAATGAAGATTAAAATGCATAAAGCAAGTCTTGCATAAAAATACAAACCGTCGTGGACTGTGGGACTGGGAAGTGGAGGTTGGAGAGCCAGAGGGCTTTGCCGTGACTTGTGGGGCTCACCCCTGTGAGCCTGGCTCCACACCAGATGGGGTTCCTCACCCTGACCTGGTGGGGGGCTCCCCTCAGCTCTGCCAGTTCTTCTAGTCCTCTGATAGATTCAGGGTCCCAGAGAGCCACTGCCTCTGGCCACTTCTAAGGCTGTGCTGGGGGAGCTGTTCTCCTATTTGGGGCCCAGGACTAAAGATTGAAGCAGTAGGACCCTGGGGCTGAACTTGAAGGTGTGGGGTTCTGGCCTTATTCCCTGTTGTCCCCTGGGGCTGCCCGAGTGCCTGACACCTGGTGAGTGATCAAAAAATATGTGTTGAAGGAATGAGCAAGAGTCCTGCTTTGGCCAGCCCTCACACCCAGTGTGACAGCACATACCCATGTGACACCCCATGCACAGGTGTGAGTACCTCCTGGCCAGTCACTGGTGCAGGCTGATAGTGTGCCTGCCTAGGGAGTCTGGGTGCAGACAGGGGCCAAATGCTCTGCCTGCAGTAATGAGTGGGACCCCTCCTACCCCTGTGAACACAGATAAGGAGGTGACTGAGCAAGCTCATGACTGCTGCAGTAAGGCCTGTGTACACAGTGCTGAGGGAGTCCCAGGTGATTGATGGGATCCAGGTGGGTCCCATCTGGACCAATTACTTGCCCTCTGGCTGGCATCGGGCCCTGCTGTGTCTACCAGTGGTTCTCAGACTTTGCCAGAGCCACCAGGAGAGCTTGTTAAAACAGATTGCCCCACCCCAAGGGCATCTGATTCAGTAAATCTGGGGTTGGGCCCCAGAGTTTGCATTTATAACAATTCTCAGGTGATGCTGATGCTGCTGGTCTGGGGGCCACCCTTTGAAGACCGATACTGTTAATGAACCAGCTCTGTCTTGAGGCCAGAACTTGGCCAGCCTTATGCCAATAAATGTACATCGTTCTCCTTCATGGTTTTTCCTGTGGCTTGTGGCCAGCTTTTTGCAGTTGGGTTCTCTTTATCCTGTGGTGGTGCAAGCCCTCGTGGGCCAGGAGCCCAACCCCCATCCTTTCATTCTCCCATTCATCCCTTGCTTCCTTCACTCATTCATTTGTTATTAAAGCACTGATGCGTCCTTATGAGGTGGAGTGCTGGGGCACCACAGAGCTGGCCTGTCCTCCTGATCCACTGTGCTGTTCCTCTTCGTAGGCTTTTTGTCCTGGGAATCGGCTTCTTCACTCTCTGCTTCCTGATGACATCTCTGGGAGGCCAGTTTTCTGCCCGGCGCCTCGGGGACTCACCCTTTACCATCCGCACAGAAGGTATCTTGGGCAAAGGGAGTCAGAAATGAGTGCTGTGTTTATGGGTCAAAGAGGAGATGTCTTTGAGCCCAGCACCATAAGGGGCTTCTGTGACCTTGCATGCTGCCTTGACTCCAGTCCTGGCTGTGTCATCAGGCTTCCTGTGGCCTATATTCTCAGGCCACACAACGGCCTTGGACCTAGAGTCTCCTGGACATTTGAAGAGTCTCTCTAGCTGGGTGTTTGGGTGGAGGGTCTGTAAATACAGGACCTGTTTTGTTGAGACCCACATATCCTTGCCTTTGACCCAGGCTGTGGCCACAGTGGGGAATAGGCCTAGCTCATATGTCTTACCTCTGAGCTCTTAGGACATAGATCTGTCTAGTCCCTCTTTGCTCCTTGCCCACAGGACACTTGCAAAGCAGGTGGGATGGAGATTTGAAGCATGGGCTTTGGGGACCAGATGGGTCTGGGTTTGCATCCTGGTTCATCACCTACTTGCTGTGTGCTGTTGGCCAAGTCACTTAACTCACATACAAAGAAGAAAAGCAATGACCTTCTTCAGAGGTTGGATTGAATGGGCTGTCACGTGGAAATTACCTGGCATGGTTGGTGCCACATGGCATGAGTGTGACAAGGAGGAACCTTTCTTCTAAAGCTGGGCCTTGTTCCCCATTTCGCTCAAGGAGAGGTGGTGAACAGAACAGTATCCTGCCCCTTGTGTCACTGGTGGGAAGGAGGAAAAAGGAACAACTATTTGGGGGCTGCCCCCTGGAAAGTCCTCTCTGAAGTCCACCTTCTGAAACTCACAGGGCATGGCTGTCTGGCTCCCTTATTCCCAGCGATGAATATTGTAGCCATCTGGGGTGGGTGCTCTGCGGGGCTGTTATCATGCCATCTGGCATTTCATCATTAGATTCATTCCTTTGGTTACCATACACTTCTTTAAACTTGCAAAAGCTCTCAGAAGAAATCTCACACTTATTAGTCATTCAAGCCTGAGTGTAAGTTAATTTATCCCATCTCTGACTCACAAAGATTCCTCAATCTCTTGGAGCCTCTCATTTTTCCTCTGGCAATTGGGGGTGATGATACCTGCTTCCCCAGGGTTGCCAAGAGGATGTGTTAAGATAAAACACAGGGAGGGTCTTTTATTTTTAGCATCTGGAAAACAGAGCTCCATACATGTGTAATGGACGTGTTGAGTCTAAAATGGGGGCTCCACAGAAAGGATGTTTTCTGGAGAGGACCAAGGAGGTGCTGGGCTTCCTACACAGGAGATGCTGAAGATTGAGGTTGGCAAAGGGAGTGGGGGCAGTTGTGAAGGTGCCTGGAAGTGTGCTCAGTCAGAGGTGGGATGGAGGAGGAAGTGTATGTGGGGAGGTGGGCTACAGAGAGATGCTTATGTTACCTGGGTGCCGCCTCTGGAAAGGGGCAAGCCTGTCGGGGTGGGCTGCTATAAAGGGTGTGAGGAAACTGGACCTCTAGAAAGGTCGGGGGCCTAAGAGGTGGATGTTAGGAGTTAGGGAGCAGGGATTTGTGGCTGGCTCTGGCTTTTCTGCCCATCTGACTAAGGAGGTAGGGGGGGGAGGATCAAGGCAACTCTACCTACCCCATGGCTCCTGCCACCCTAGCCTTGGGCACAGTGGCCCAGAGTACAAGGGGCTGTGGGAGGGCTGCTGTGCTTTGTGAGGCTTTGCCTGGGAGCAGAGCTGCTAGGGGTCCAGCTCTAGCCTAAGATCTGTGTCTTAGAGGTGGGTGGATCTACACTGGCCATGTGATTAAACTGGAGGGGTGTTTGTGTATGTTTGTGTGTGTGCACACACTTTTTACTGATGTATAATACACAAAAATGAACGATCCAGCTGGGTGCAGTGGGTCTAATCCTCTAATCCTAGCACTCTGGGAGGCTGAGACAGGAGGATCACTTGAACTTAGGAGTTTGAGACCAGCCTGAGCAAGAGTGAGACCCCATTTCTACTAGAAATAGAAAAACTAGCCAGGTGTGGTAGTGGCTGCCTGTATGTAGTCCCAGCTATTCAGGAGGCTGAGGCAAGAATTGCTTGAACCCAGGAGTTTGAGGTTGCTGTGAGCTGTGAAGCTACAGCACTCTAGCCTGGGGACAACAGAATAAGACTGTCTCAAAAACAAAACAAAACAAAACAAATTTAAAAAAAAAATCCATGCAACCAGCAAGACAGACGAAGAAACAGAATATGGTCAGTCCCCAAAGTGTCCTCATGCCACCTCCCAAGGATAGTCAGGATCTCAACTTCTGACAGTATAGAACAGTGGCTCTCAACCTGTGGATCACGACCCACAGGAACTGTATTAAAGGACCATGGCATTAGGAAGGTTGAGAACCACTGGTGTAGGTATTGCCCATGTTTTGGATGTGATGAGACCATGGGATCACGTGGCGTCCTTTCTTTATGTGTTACTCCTTTCTCCGGATAATATATTCATGAGGCTCGGCGCCTATAGCTCAAGCGGCTGAGACGCCAGCCACATACACCGGAGCTATGGGGTCCAAATCCAGCCCAGGCCTGCCAAACAATGACAACTACAACCCTCTCCCCCCCTGGGAGGTTGAGGCAAGAGAATCGCTTGAGCCCATGAGTTGGAGGTTGCTGTGAGCTGTGATGCCCCAGCACTTTACCCAGGGCGTGTGTGGTTGTGGTCTTTTGCTCTCACTGCTGTGTGGCCTTCCTTGTGCAAATACACCTCCACATATTTATCCCTCCTCGCATGGTGGGCATTTGGTTGTTTCCAGTTTGGGCTCCTGTGCGTATTCTGGTGCGTGCCTTTTGGGGAACACACGCAGGCATCTCTGTTGGATTTACCTAGGAGTGGATTTTCTACATGTTGGAACATTGGTTCTCAGTCCAAGTTTATCCAAGGCGAAGACTTTTCACATTTCTCTGGCCCGGCTGGAAGCTGAGCGCCTAGAATACCGAACTAAAGTCCAGGAGGAGGAGGAGATGGAAAAAGAGACCCCTGAGAACTCAGGGTAACTGCCCCTGACCTGGTTTATATCCCAGTTCTCATTCTCCCCTGAGATTTCTTTCATGGCCTTGGATTAAGCTGATTTGCAGGGGCTGGGCCTGGGGAGCCCTTTGCACTGTGGGTATAGAATCCTGTTCCTGCTTGAGAAGCGCCTCACACAGCGTCCCCTGGGACAGCCCTGCAGGAAACCTGGGGGGTGCTCAATGGGAGGACTGAGGCTGCATGGGGCGGGGGGCTTGGCTGATCAGACCTGGGGAGGGACACTGCAAGCTCCTGGGTGGAGCTGTTGGATGACACACATTCCATTATCCAACAGAGTTCTGGGGTCTAAGCAACCTGACAGCAGAGTCAGGAGAAGGAAACGGGCTTGGGCCCTGCCATTTAGGGGGAAAAAGCATTGTCAATCGACAAAACAATCTGAGCACAAATGGGAAAAACCATCTCTTCACCTGTCAAACCAGTGACGGGAATGGGGTCCCACATGGACTGCAGCTGGGAAGGGCCGGGCAGGAGGTGGGTTTTCTGTGAAAGGATTGTATGAGGGCCCCCTGCAGCCTCTTGTGGGATCTGGTCTCCTCACAGAGGCACTGAGCTCTTCTCTGTGCTAGTTTATGTTTCATGATAAAGTCCGCTAGGTCGGGGATAAAAATATGACAGACATCTCATTCTCTATTCTGCGTGCTTGTCTTAAGGATTCAGGAGAGGAGGCTGGGTGGGCAGTTCTAACTCAGAGGTCCAACTCCATTCCCCCTTGCCGCAGTTAGGCTGGGCTTGGACCTTGGGTAGGGTTTCTGGGATGCGCCCCCCTCAGACAGCTCCACACTCCCTCTCCTCTTCCTCTGGGGAGGGGTAGGCTTCCCCTGTCTGCAGCCTCCCTCCCCATTGTGGCCGCAGCATCACTGCTGTGTGTGGGGCCATTCCCTGATCTCTGCCTTGTCTTGAAGAAGTAGCCGTAGGAGGCTGTCCATGGGGTCTGCAGGCTGGGGGTCCATGGGGGAGCTGCTTGTGTCTGTCTGGACACCCCAGGCCCTGGCCAGGAATTTAACCTGGGAATGCTTCCTGGCTCAGTAGTTGCCTCTGGCCTTGGACCTTGGTGCTGAGGGGCTCTGGGGCTCTTCCTTCAGGGGCTGGGTCAAGAGGGCTGAGGAGCAGCTACATCTGGCCTCCTGGGGCCTGGTCCCCATCTCCCCCCCTGCCTGAAGCCCGGAGCTCCCATGGCCTCAGCTGGTTTCCATCGCGGCAGAGTACCGAGAGACAAATGTTCTCATTTCCCCAGCTGTGCAGACAGTGCTGGGGAGGTCTCTGTTACCCGGAGAGGCGGGGGCTTGTTCAATTTCTGGCAGTAAAGAGTAGTGGTGGGAACCAGGGAGAGGCGACAGGGGAGGATAGAGGGGTAGAGAGAGAAAGTCTAGGGAGGGGACGGAAACCCCCGTCTATAAACATGGGGATCCATTGGTGTCTCTCAGTGGCCCAGCTTTCCTTATTTATATGGAAATATGGAGGGAACATGTGTTAGTTCTGAGACGTATTGCTGGGGCCTCCCATTAAATACATTTCAATTTAGCTGACGCCAAGTATGGAGAAGCAGTGTCAGCTTGCTCCTCTGACAGTCCCGGAGCTGGTGGCAGCATCCGAGGGAGCGAGTGACATGCCTCCCTGCTGGGTGCATGGCCTCCGTGGCCTTGTCGTTGGGCATCTCCTGGGCAGAAAATGTGCTTGGTGCTGGAGGGGCCCCCGGGAAGGAGTGTGGGCTGTTGCCCTGGGGCTCAGGGCTTCTGGAGCTCCTCACCACCTGCAGAGGACGGGAGCAGCTCCTGAGGCCAGAGTGGGTGGGGGCGTCTTATTGTCTTGGTCCAGTCTGACTGGGGGGATTAAAGAAACTTTCAGGGAGATCTGTCTCCTTAGGCATAGCCATAGTGAAGTCTGGGCTGGGGTGGCCCACACCTCCATAAGTCCTTCTGTCTTTTGGGGGGATGCCTTCTGTTGACATTTTTTTTCTTTTTTGAGACAGAGTCTCACTACATTGCCCTTGGTAGAATGCCATGGTGTCACAGCTCACAGCAACCTCAAACTCTTGGGCTTAAGTGATTCCCTTGCCTCAGCCTCCCAAGTAGCTGGGACTACAGGCACCCGCCATAATGCCGCCTTTTTTTTTTTTCTGCAGTTGTCATTGTTTAGCAGGTCCAGGCCAGATTCGAACCCACCAGCTTCAGTATACATGGCTGGCGCTATAACCACTGTGCTACCAGCACCGAGCCCCTTCTGTTGACATTTTTAAAGAATTAGCTTAATCTCTCCTATGTAGCATAATCCAGAACTCCTCGAATCTTCTAAGATTCTTGGGGAGGAGGGCTTTATGTTTCCTTGGTCACCTCTTATGCCAATTTCTTATCTCACTCGGCATGTCTTCTCCTCCTTCCTCAGTCTCTCCTGTGTTGACCTAGTGGGAAGGACACCCTGTGCCCATAACCTTATCCTCTCACCCGAAGCCCACCAACACCAGGCCATGGGTGTGGCCACCTGCACGGAGGTGGGGGCTTCAGACCGCTGTCCTGTGCAGCTCACAGATTCAGGTTACCACTTGCATGCCTGGCGCCAGGAGCCCCTGGGGTAGAGGCTTCCCCGTCCTGCTTAGCCCCTCTGCCCACTCCTGCCACCCTGTTCCTATGTCTCCTTCTCTCTCTCTCTCTCTTTTTTTTTTTGGTGAGACAGAGTATCACTCTGTCACCCTGGGTAGAGTATAGTGGTGTCATCATAGTTCACAGTAAGCTCAAACTCCTGGGCTCAAGCCATCCTCTTGTCTCAGCCTCCCGAGTAGCTGGGACTATAGGTGCATGCTATAATGCCCAGCTAATCTTTCTATTTTAGTAGAGACAGAGTCTTGCTTTTGCTCAGGCTGGTCTTAAACTGAGCTCAGGCAATCCACCTGCCTTGGCCTCCCAGAGTGCTGGGATTACAGGTGTGAGCCACTCCACTGGCTGACTCTCTCTGTGTCTCCTGGGCTGCCTATGAGAATATGTGGAGTCACTGAGCTTTCCCTGGGTCTGCTCTGGGCATCTAGACTCTTCTCTGGCCATCAGAAGTTTAGCAGAACCAAAGAGCGCTCTGTCCCTGAGAGGGCTCCAGCATTCATAGGAGCATTTCTTTCTCCTATTACCCTGGTCTGTAGGGGCAATTAGGGGAAGAGGTAAAAGAGGCATTGCCTCTTATTGGGGTGTAGAACCTTGGAGGTCAGTGAGTCTAGCTCCCTTATTTTACCTGGGGTAGATACTGAGTCCAAGAGAAGGAAGTGACCTGCCTGCCCTTCATCCTGACCTGGGCCACCCCGCTGCTGCAGCCTCTGCTCTGTCAGCTCTGGGGGCCCCTACAGCTCTTGGCCAGATCTCAGAGTTTTTGGCTCCTCAGCTATTTAGCAACCTGGGGAGTGGGGCTGACAGTGTGATAGGAGGGGGATGTCCTGTGATGGGATGGGGTTGGAGAGCCAGGCCCGCAGAGCCATGGGCCGGGTGCCAGGCTGAACATGTTCCCAGGAAGGCAGCATCACCCTGGAAGCTGTGCGTGGGCTCAGCACTGCGGGAACGGCTGCTGACTGTGGTCAGTCGGGCCTGGGTGCCCTGGCCAGGGTGTGGCTGGGGAGTGTCAGAGAGAAGGCGCTGACTATAGGCGTCCCAGCTGGGGTTTGCCTTCCTTTTTTCATCCCACCTCAACCCAAGCTATGAGCAATGGCTCAGCAGAGCTGCCCGGGGAGGCAAGGTGGGCTGTGCACTGCACAACTCCACAGCACCCATTAGGTGGCCACCACAGAGGTTGTGCCGCCTGGAGTTGTGCCAAAGCAGCAGCCAGGCCAGATCATCTCCTATTTTTCTTTTTTTTTTTGAGACAGAGCCTCAAGCTGTCCCCCTGGGTAGAGTGCCGTGGCACTACAGCTCACAGCAACCTCCAATTCCTGGGCTCAAGCGAGTCTCCTGCCTCCGCCTCCCAAGTAGCTGGGACCACAGGCGCCCGCCACAACGCCCGGCTATTTTTTGGTTGCAGCCATCATTGTTGTCTGGCGGGTCCGGGCTGGGGATTCGAACCCGCCACCCTAGGTGTACGTGGCTGGCGCCTTAGCCGGTTGAGCTATAGGCGCCGAGCCCATCTCCTATTTTTCTAGCTGAACTGAGCCTCCCTCTTCTTCCCTTCATGCCCCAGGCATAGGGGGAAGCTGGGCTGGCGTTTGCATGATGGGCACGGGCAGGGGTCTCAGAGGTGACAGTGACTTGAAAGAGTAAATCATTGCCCCCGACTCTGTGAACTTGAAAGAGACAGGGAGCTGTTCTTGTCTCGTTTGATAGGTGAACCACTGCAGTGTGGGAGAGCACAGGGAGGAGCTGAATGGCCAGACAGACCTGGGTTTCTTTTATTTAACTACTTTTAAAAATATGCTAAGTTTTCTGAGAGGGAAATGTGGGGAGGTCATTTGCTGTTGCACCTCTCAGACTGAGGAGGGAACAGAGATTGTATTTTTCCTGCCTTCCTTTCTACGCCCATTTTCTCCGGTACCTGACCCCCTCTGGGGCCTTCCTGTGCCTCTCTGCTTCTCCCTCCTCCTCGCCTCTGCTCTCTGGACCCCTCCTGAGGGCACAGGGCAGGCAGTCAGGTGAGGCCCAGGCAACTCGCTGCTGACTAGGCCCTGTGGTCAGTCAGGCCTGGGTGCCCTGGCCAGGGCATAGCTGGGGAGTGTCAGAGAGACACTCCCCCATTCATGCCTCTTCTCCAGGGCTCAGACCTGTCTCCTGTGGCTCCTACTAAGGGAGCCACAGCTCCTCCCTGCTCTGAGGCTGGTGCCTGGATAGCACTGCTAGACCTCAGGCAGGTTCAGCTGGCAGGGAGCCCAGCCAGGGGGTGTCTTATATTGTATAGAAAAGCAGCAGCGGCTGGACAGGCCAGGCCCAGGGGAGGAGGGGCACGAGAGCAGCAGAGGTGTCAGAGCAGCCCTGGGCCACATCCCTCCCTCTGTCCCTCTCCTGCCCCTTATTCTCAAAGTCCTCTGCTGCCACCTCCATGGTGCTGTGACGTTGGGCTGCAGTGGGGCCTGGTACTCTTGCCTTGAGCTAGGGCTGCTGAGGCCATGGCCACACAGGGTTGTATGCATTCCAGCCCCGTCTGTCCTTTTGAGCCTGCTGGGGTGTCCACCTTCTGAGAAGCAGATGCTGGTGGTGCTCACACCCTTGACCCTTACAATTCTGATGTGCTTGCACCAGGCTTCCAGCTACCAATGTTTGTGTGGCTTTGCTGTGAGCTTCCTTTGGCCACCCTGCAGTGGGCAGAAAGTGCCAAAACATTACTGCCCCTGGGAGCAGCTCTCCCCCCTGACTGGCAGGAGACAGTGTGTAAATGCCCAGGTGGGGCAGCTCTGAGGCCAAGCTCCCGATGCACCTGTCATGGGAGCCTCCCTGCTCTGTCTCTTCCTCACTCCGCTATGGGGGCTCCTTCACCTCTCAAACCCTTGTCCCAGGCTCTGCCTCTGGGGAACCCCACCCATGGCATCCCTTACTCTGGCCCTGCAGCCCATGCATGGGGGGGGGGGTTGTGTCTCTGTGGCACATCTTATTTGTAAGGGTGGTTTGGATCCTGACCTGTGGGGTTTGAAGGAGCCGAGTCGGGGTTTTGGTGCTTGGAGCTGAGCACAGTGCAGACTGCACAGAGGGCTGTTTAAACCCTTGGAAGGTTTAATTAAGAGGGAGGCCGAGCTGCTCTCTCACACTGGCACTCGTGACACTAATGATTGGGGATGATGAGAAAGGAAGCCGTGAGGATCCCAGGCTGGTTAATGGGCTCCTGGGCATGTGCTTCTCTTTTGTTTAATTCTGTTCATCACCAGGTCCCACAGCCCAGGCTGAGGGCAGAGGGCAGAGGGCTGCCTCCTCCGCTCTAGAGGGGCCTGCCCTGTCAATTGACCCTTGGGAACCCAAAGCCCACCTGGAGGTCCAGGGCAAACACATTATGGTTTTCTGCCACGGGGCTCAGGGGTGGGATAGGGAAAGGTTCAGTGCCCACAGCCTGGCAGGAGAAACGGGTCAGGCAGCAACACGGCCCCAGGCCCTGGAACAGGGCTGCCAACCTCCTGCCTGTGTCAGAATTGCATGGGGAGTGAGCAGAGCACAGATTCTTGGACCCCAGGCTCTGGAGAGTTGAATTGGCAAATCTAGACCAGGGCCCATAATTTGAATTTTAACAGCCTGGCCAGGAGATTCAGATGCCTTGGGTGACTGACTGACTACACTCTTGGAAACCCTGATCTATCTGGAGCTTGGTGGGCCCCCGCTGTCATCTCACAGGCCTGAGGATACCTCATAGATTATTGCTAAAGCTCCATTATACAGCTGACAAAACTGGTTAAGAAACCACCCTCCCATTGTGCAGCTGGTGGGGAGCAGACGTGGCCCCGCACTGTCTCCTATACTGTGGTGCTGTTCTCTGCACACAGGGAACAGAGGCAGCAAAGGGGCGTCCTGCCTGGCAGGGGTGACAGCAGGCAGGCTCCCTCTCTAGACCCCTCCTTTACAGTGGCCAAGGAGGAAGGGAGTGGGGCTGGGGGTCCCAGCAGGTGGGCCCAGGTGTCCTCCTGTGGGGTTTGGAAGGATCCGAGTTGCCCGGGCCTCACCTGACTGCCTGCCCTGTGCCCTCAGTGATGGGTGGCCCTGAGTCCCGGGGCATCCTCCGCAAGATGAGCGACCTGCTGGAGCTGATGGTGAAGCGGATGGACACGCTGGCCAGGCTGGAGAACAGCAGTGAGCTGCACCGAGCCACCGGTGACATGCACTTTGCAGCAGACAGGTGAGAGGGACGTGACAGAAGGGGAGACAGGAGTAGGGCAGGGACAGTGCCTTGGGGCACTGTGGTTGGGAGGACACAGCTTCTAAATGTGCTGCAGTACTTGCATTTTTGTGAATCAGGAGAAAACCTTAGTACAGAAACCCACACGGGCCTCGGTACCTGTAGCCAGCTTGGGTCTGCCAAACAACAATGACAACTACAACCAAAAAATAGCTGGGCGTTGTGGCAGGTGCCTGTAGTCCCAGCTACTTGGGAGGCTGCGGCAAAAGGATCACTTAAGCCCAGGTTTGAAACCGACACTTTTAGATAATTTGCAGAAAAGCTTTCCCTCAGCTAGTGTGTGTGATGGGACAGCAGGAGCTCCAGAGATTTCTAGAGCTGGTTGAAACTGAAAAAAATGATGACGTCGGGTCCTGGCCAGACTGGGGAAAGAGAGGGTGTGCTGGAGAGACTCCCTGGGTTGGGTCTGAAATGCAGGCTGGTATGAAATCCTTTGTCTGGGCTGCTAGTCAGGGGCCCACCTGTAAATGGCCTTGCTGATTGAACAAGTGTCCCAGGTGCCCAACAGGGCCAGCCTGGTGTCAGTGACATTGTCCTCATACGAGGTGACCCTTACTGAAAGTGCTCTAAGCACCTGGCATTGTTCTAACTGTGTGGCCTCCATGATCTCATCCATCCCACAACTGTCTGATGGGTGCGAGTCTCCAGAGGAGGAAACTGACTCACAAAGAAGTTGAGAAACTCACCCAAAGTTGACAGCTGTACGGGGCACGTCTCCACCCATCATGCTCTCGCTGGCCATTCATTAACTATGCAGCAGTAGGTGGTTTAGTTTTTATCCCTTGGTAAGAATTTTCACAGCAATTAACTCACAAATAATAAAAAAAAAAATCCTGTTAGACCTTGTGCTCTGATGTTTTTGGTTTGGAAAATGTAGGCACTAAAATCAGTCCAGCACCCGGGGTTGAGTGTGATGCCCAGTGGGCACTCAGCACCGAGAGGTCAGGGCTCCGTGGCAGGCTGCTGAGCCTACGCTGGGCCCCAGTCAGATGCTGTTTCACCCACCAGGACTTAGCATGTAATGGAACCAGTGAAAGAGACCTGCTCCTGGACTGGGGATCCACTAAGTACCAAGCAACAGGGGCCGGGGAGACGAGATGAGCACAAGAAATCCCCATGCTCATTCCTGGAGGAGAGGCAGTAAATAACCAGGAGGAAAAAATAAACGACATCCTCGCAGAGACTGATCCGTGTCCCAGAGATTAGAAACTAGGAAAGGGGCTGTTCAGACAGGGTGGTCTGGACAGCCCTTCTGGTCTCAGCCCTTCTGAGTCTGTGAGTAATGGACAGAGCCAGCCACGTGACAGCTGCCAGGAGAGGATTTTCGGTGGAGAAGCAGCAAGTACAAAGGACCTGGGGTGGGAGCAAGCTTGGTCTGCTGGAGAAAGAACCAACCTGAAGGACAGTATTACAGAACTGGGGAGGGGACAGGGTCAACTGTGCCAGGAGGCTCTGCCAGCCATGAGAACTATTTTGAGAAGCCAGTGGATTTATCTTTTAAAAACATCGCTTTGTTCTGTAAAAACTGCATTAGTGGGGTAGCAAGAGGGGAAGCTGAGGGGCCAGTGGTAGAGACGGGGAAATGGGGGCAGAGGCGTTGGGGCATGAGACCATTTTCCTCTCCGTGTACAGGTCAGTCTTCTCCAATGCTGTTTGTGTCCCTCAGGTCCAACCCCTTGCCCCTGCTCCTGCCTAACCCAGCTATGCTGCTGGCCCAGCCTCTGTCCACAAGTCTACTCCCCAGCACAGGGATAGACCCAGCTAGCCTCCAGCTAGCCTCCTGGGCCCCTGCTGTGGGCAAGAGAGGTCTGGTGGACCTGGGCTCCAGGACTGCCTTCTTGGACTGGGTGTACTACCTATTGCCAGCACTTTGGATATCTCTCTGGTTTCTTCCAGTCCTGGCCTGTCCCTCCCGCCCCCACCCTGACCTTCCTCTCCTCCTGGGGAAGGAGAGAGCTTGGGGTGGGGGAGGTGAAGAGCACGCACCACCTCCCAGCTCCGTCCTGGGAAATAGCCACAATCCATCACGACCAGCAGAGCCCATCAAAGCCTCAGACAGAGCCATAAATTTCAGGGACACTGTTGCTTCTGGTTTCAGGGAGAGAAATGGTGGGTGGGTGTGTCCAGGGAATGTGGCTGCTCACAGTCCCCTGTGCACAAACACTCCAGCCCCCTCCCCACCCTTAACCTGACTCCTGGTTAGCCCCCCGGAAGCTGCCCAGGTGAGAGTCCCACAGAAGCTCGGCCACGGTTCCCAGCACGCGCTCCTCAGCTGCACTTGGATTTCCCACTTTGAAATTGTCTGTGCTTAAAAGAAAACCTCTACTGTCCTCCTTCTGCCCTTCTGGAAGCTTCTGGGCTGCCGCCTTCTACTCATGGCTGGTGTGTCCTCAGGGAAAGCAAATTTGCTTTTTTAGCCTAGGAAAACATAATTAGGGAGGCAGATTTGCTGCAAATGGCATCATATTATGTATCCTAAAGCCAAATAGTAATGATCTTTGAATTTTCCATAAGGCCGTAAAACCACAGAGATCTGAGGCTGTCTGAATTCAAATCAATCTGTATTTGTCAGATGCCCCCTGTGTACAGAGTTGGGGCCAGAGATTTGAGAGGAGCTGGAGGGGACACACAAGAGATGGGCTTGGAGCTCTGTCCTTGGAGAGTTTACAACCCCCGTGGGGAGAGGGAATGCACACTTACCCCTGTGCACGCCTGAAGAGGAACACAGACACTGTGCCAGCCCGGCCCACAGCCCCTGCCGGGGGACAGACCTGCATGTGACTCTGGCTGCTCACTGCTGGGTGGCCACAAGCTCGTCATTGACTATCTCTGAGGCTCACGGATGACACTGGGGGCAGGGAGGATGGGGCCCTGTGCTTGGTGCTCAGAAGGATGGTCTGTTTCCCTTCCCCATGCCACGAGGTGCAGAGAAGGGTTGACCTGGCCGAGCTGGGGGAGGCCTCAAATCACAGCATACTCACTGCTGAGGGGGAGTGTGGATGAGCCTCAAAGGAGGGAGAGGGAGATGGAGGGAGATTTTGACAAGGTGGGTGGCCGGCGATCTGGACAGAGGGAATGAGCAGATCCACCCACAGACCCAGCAGTGGCTGAGGCTGAGGGAGGGCGACTAGGGAGTTGGTGCTGCCCAGTCTAGCTCTGTGACTGGAGGACCCCATAAGCGAGGGGCACTGGTAGGCATGAACCCTGAACTTGGACAGCTCAAAAATCCACCCGTTGATTCTAGACTCCCTAGTTTATGTCTTAAGGCAGGGTCACAGCCCTAGGGTCCACTCCCGAATACCCACCAGCCACCTACCTGGATGTCCTGGGAGTGGCTCAAACTCATGTCCCCCAGCTCTCTTCTCAGGCTGTGACAGCTCCTACCTTTCCTCAGCTCAGACCCTAACCTAGTCACCCTTGATCCTTCTCTCCCTCACACCTGTGTCCAGTCCACCAGCAACTTCCCCACCTTCAGAATATGCCTAGAACTCCACCTCTTCTCACCCACCCTCCTAGCTATTTCCAACTCAGCAGCCAGCGGGATCTTTTAAAAATATCAATTAGATCAAGTCTCTCTCTCCTCCTTGGCTCCCCAGCTCACTTGGGTAAGTCTCTCTGGTGGCCCCAATGTACCTGGCCTTACGTGTTCCCAGCCTTCTTGCTGTTCCTCGAGCATACTGACCCCCTGCATTGCACAGGGTCTTTGATTCCCCAAAGCTTGGCTTCTACACCCTGTATTTGCTCTGTTGGCAGGGAGTGATGATGCCACACACAGCCAGACTGGCTCTGTCCTGCTACAGTAGGGCGGTGTGTGTGTGTGTACTGATGCATTCACTTGTGGTTCAGAAAAGAGGGGTCCTCTCTGTTCTCACCTGGGGAGGGGCTGCAGACCCTTGGTCATCTATTCAGAGGCCTCCCCAACTTCAGTGGAGGCTCTGGCTGGGCTCAGGTTGAGGCAGAGCAGTGAAATGCACGCGCAGCTGGACCTCAGGGGCTCCCACTTCCCATGTGGTGTGTGTGATCGATGCAGAGGGAATATGTCTCCTCGACTCATGTTTCTGGCTGTGTGTGTGTGTGTCTCCTGGTGTGAGTGTCCACACGCACCTGTGTGTGTGAGTCTTGGTGTTTTAAAAGCCAAATGATCAGTTTCATAGTAAAATAACTCCCAGCAAGCACCCTGGCCAACTGTGAGGAAATCGATTCCCCTGTTAATTGAATGCAACCCTCATAAATCAGGGGAGAAACATGGAATTATGCTCCTTCCTGAGGCAGTCTAGAGAGTTCCTTCTCGGGGCAGGGGACTGGGCTGGAATTGGTGATTACACCATGGGGCTAGGAGGAGGGGCCTCTTCAGGGGCTGGTGGAAAGGGAGCAGAGGGCTGGAGCCGCAATACATCTGTGGCCTATGCTTTTGGCTCCTAGAGGCCACTGTGCCAGGGTCAGCCTTGGGAAGGGGGTGGGCAGTAACCAAAGGCCCAGCTTGGGCTTCTTTACTTTCGGAGTAAGAAATGATCGTTTTGGTGGAATGCCTGGGTGTGCAGAAAGCATGCACAGTTCAGGCCTCGATGTCCACGTGAGTTTTGCAGATGCAATGAGAAGTAGCAAGGGCTGGCCGGGTCCCAAGCTCCCTGCATGCCCTCAGGAAAGTCACTTTATCTGGTCTGAGCCAGTTCCTGTATGTAAGCGGTGGAGCCAGCGAGTCTCCCAGAATCTTTTCCAGGTCAGACGTCCTGAGACTTTGAGATCTGGCTAGGTTCTTGAGGTCATAATGGCCATGAGCGGTCACCAGTCACAGTGATGGGTTTTGGCTCACTGGAGGGTAGTTCCACCAGGCAGGGAGGAAAGGCCTCTCTGGGGGGACATCTGTCAGCCTAGGAAGTCTCTACACACTCCCTTACCCCCACCCAGAGCTGTCTGCAAATCCCTCAGTCTTAGAGGCT